TTCAAAAAGTCTCGATGCTTTCTGTCAAGAAGAGCATTTTGTTTATTGCTCAACTTAATTTGAGTATATTCGGTTATATGTCTATCATTGTCAGGAAACATAATTGGTCTTCGATAATTTGTATTTTCATTCTCTCTGAACCACATGAGATTTGCAGTTTCTTTTTTATTAGAATCAGATTGAGTCATTTTAAATTACATAATAAAAAATCTAATCGGTTTGAAAAACTGATTAGATAAGTTCACCAGGTTTTGTCTCCGCGACGCTCTTTTTTTTTTTCAGCTGCCACTAGCCTCGCAATTGCTTATGGTCAGTTGTGATTATGTTAATATTTACAAAAATTATCATTCTGATTCGAATTTTTGACTGGATCCCTCACCCATTTTCATACGCTGTATTCAAATTCCTCCCAGTCGTCAATACGAATCGCATTTTGATTCTTTTAAATATATATTTATTAAAAAAAAAATTAATAAAAAAAAAAGAAATACAAAATTATTTGAAATAATCTTTAATAGTATTTTTACGTTTTGGTAAAGTCAATTCAATAACAGGGTTTTTTGAACCTAAATATGCTAACCTATCGGCTTGTTCGTTTCCGTAAATACCACTATGTCCCTTCACATGTTTAAAATATGTTTGGCCTTTACGCTCTTTGATTAAATCATTAAATCTATTGACTAAATCGAAAAATTTTTTGGGTTTTTTAATATTATGAGAATTAATAATATAGAAACTATCAGTATTAATTATTAAATTTTCATTTTTGTTGCAGATTTCGAGAGCTCTGATTGCTGCATATATTTCTGCATGATTGTTAGTTTGTTATTCACCTGGAAGTCATTCAGACAAGTTTTTCAGATCTTTATCTTTAAAAAATACTCCAATGCCTCCAACAGCATCTGATAATCTATTTCTTTTACAGAATCTATCGGTCCAAACATTTAGTTTGTCTTTAACTTCAATATTTTGTTGATCTATAAAATCTTGTGCCTCGATCTTTGTATAAAATGATTTATACAAAGCTCCAGGACATCCTTTTACATATTCTTCACATTCTTTCCATGATAGAAAAATTCCAGTTTTTCTTCCTTTAGCAACAGCGTAATATTTTATTGATGATATTTTCGGTATCTGGAATTACAACATAAATAATTCAAATAAATGAATCACAATTATGAATACCATCGACAAACAACCGACCATGAAGTCGCCGAGTTAGCGAAAGTGAGAGTTAGTAAAGATTATTACATAAAGTAAAGATTATTACAGGTTGTGAATCTCCCTCACCTCTCAAGCTTTGAAAGAGAATTATAAAAAAACTGATTAAATCTAATTATTATTTATCTTTACTGCAAGAGTAAAAAATTTAAATATGTAGTATAATAATAAAGTATAATGTGAAACAGAAAGAAAAAGCTTTCGCAAGTTCGATCGAACAGAAAGATAAGTTTGGACCGAGCTCAATTTCAATAACCATGGTTTATATATATTTAAATCTGAAAATAAATTATGGGATTCCTCCAAAGTTTTCAACTAAATGAATTCAGATAATTACTGAGGGAAAAATCTAATCGGTCAAAAAACTGATTAGATATAGAAACTTTAAGTACAATCACCAAGAAATATAAATATTTCGAAATTTTTCAAACACCGAACCAATTTCTTTATCATAGCAATTTCTAATAATAAATAAATTAGGAAATGGTTTTTTACATTGAATCACAAAGTTGAGTAAATTGTGTTCTGGGAAGATGAACCAATTCCTTTTTCATAGCAATTTCTAATCTTGATGAAATAATTTTCTGTTCGGTAAGTT